AACAGAGATATATGTAACACATACAGGATAACACAGCAAACTGTTAATTACCTTGATGAGGGAAATCTGAAGGTTAACTGTCTTTCTATTCTTGAGGAGGTTCTGCAGTTTTCTGCTATGTAGAATGTTATCTACATAGAGCCAAAGCCTTTCAACAATGTCTTCCTTCAGTTCAAGTTTTTTCTTATAAAATGCAACCAGTGACTGCCTTGCCCAATCAAGCAATACCTGAATTTGGAAAAAAATATACTTAAAAATAAATGAATTTCTTTATCAAGAAAAACATTGGACATTTATAGGGACACCCCATGAATAACCAAATACAACTGCCAGGGGGAAGAACTTTCTTTAAAACTTAACTTTGGTAATATTATGTTTTGGTACCTTAAAATATGTTTACTAAACAATCAATTAAACAAAAACAATTAACTTTGGGGACTTCCCTGGTGGTCCAGTGGCTAAGACTCCATGCTCCCAATGCAGGGGGCCTGGGTTCCATCCCTGGTCAGGGAACAGGATCCCACATGCCACAACTAAAAGATCTTGAATATCACAACAAGGATACTGTGTGCACCAAATAAGACCCAGCACAGCCAAATAAATAGATAAAAGAAAAAACAAAAAAACTAATTTTGCCTTCACCTGGGGCCAATAAAAAGTTTCAAGTGAAACAGTTTCTTCTAACTAATCACTTCTAAATTTTAAAAGTTAAAAGCACAACAATTGCTCAGGATGGCCACAAAAAGAATGACAGACAAAAGCAAAGACGCAGAGTCAGGAGACCAGAGTTTGTGTCCTGGCTTCCTGAGTTACCTGCAGCTTCATCTCTAAACCTACTTCCTGCATTCAGAAGACAGCATCTTCCATGAATGTTTCACAAATGCTGTATTAGAAGGAGGGCTGAACATGAGATAGTTTTCATTATTGTGACATGATTCCTTATTCATAAACACAAGGAAAGGTGGTGAGGCCTCAGCTCAAGACACCAGAACTGTCAATAACAGCATGAAGAGTGCAAATTCTAAGAGGAAAACACTCTCCCGAGAAGGAGAGTGGAGACCTTGACCAAACTGCCTGCCACAGCTGTCAGGGGACACTTAGGCAGCAACGACTCTTATGCACAGCCAGATTTAGAAACTACTAGTTCTGCTGGTGCTGTACAGAGCGGATCTCATCATTCCGACAGCTGAAATCCATCTTTGACACATTTTGAACTGCTTTATTGTTGTTGTTTAGCACTAAGTTGTATCTGGTGTCTTTGGCAACCCCACGTACTTTAGCCCACCAGGGTCCTCTGTCCATGGGATTTCCCAGGCAAGAATACTGGAGTGGGTTGCTATTTCCTTCTCCAGGGGATCTTCCCGACCCAGGCATCAAACCTATGTCTCCTGCACTAGCAGGTGAATTCTTTACTGCTGAGGCACCAATTTAATCCAATTTAATGAGTTCATCATCCTGGTGTCTCCATTATATTAACAGTTTTTCTTAGTCAGATAAGTTTGAGAAATGTTAACAAAGAACCATGTTTTTCTTGGTTCCTAATTTGTTTCTAATCTATCAGTTTATAATCTATTTTCCCTTGGGTTATTACAAATGCTAAAGCTTCTCTACTTCCCAACCTTTGATTCATCAAGTTCCAAACATGTTTAAAAAGCACCAATAAGAATTGCTTATGGAGCATCACTTAGGATTTATAAATAAATGAAACTGCCAACAGACTCAGAACCTAATTCCTGTAACCCAAGTCCAAATTTGTTCACTGATGCACATACTTAGGGCTTCCCAAGTGGCACCAGTGGTAAAGAACGTGCCTGCCAATGCAGGTGATATAAGAGACACAGGTTAAATCCCTGGGTTGGGAAGATCCCCTGGAGAAGGGCATGGCAACCCACTCCAGTATTCTTGCCTGGAGAATCCCATGGACAGAGGAGCCTGGCAGGCTATGGTCCATAGGGTCACAAAGAGTTGAACATGGCTGAAGTAACTTAGCACACACCCACATAATTTGGAATATAAGAGATATTTCCAAACATAAAAGAAATGCTGAGGTTTTGTAACAGAAAAAGTTTGTTAGAGAAATATCTATTAACTTCTTCTCACTGAAACTACTTTTAACTTTCTAACTATGCTTCCTTCTCCAGCCTTTTCTCTAATCTTTAAAAATTTTAACTAAACATCAATATGCAATTTAATAAATGATCATTAGTTTAGGTTGGAAAAATGTAACTTTCACATTAAACTTACTTGTTCTTTATTTGGAAGATGACACTGGTGGGAAATCCAAGCAAAGTGAGCTAGTTTTAGTTTATCTTCCCAGGATGTTCCCTTGCTTTTAAGTTTCACAGAAATGCCAGAATAAACAGCTGCCATTTCGGCACTTTACCTACAATTTAAAGCAACGGAAAAAAAACATTATATAAAGGTCAAAGTTAATAGGCACCAAAAATGAATATTATGTACCTTATTGTCTACATAACTTATACTCCTTTTAAAAAAATTATTCAATGAATTAAAACACTGTTGGGCAGAAGTCAATATATAAGATGCTTGAGTCCATGAGTTTTCTAGAAGAAATTCACATGAAAGCAGACAGAAGATGGATTACACACATGTGTACAAGTATTCCTGCTGTGAGTAAACATCACATCCTCAGAGATCAATGTGCAGGAATTCACTAAAACAAAACCCAAAGTGTTCAAATTACTTGTGAACACTCAAATTACTTTATTTTCACACATGGCTTTAGATTGAAAAGGTTGTTACTGCAAAAATGTTCTAATACATACATACTGTACAGTATGTATTAGGATCCACTCCATTAAACAGTTTAAAAAGATAAGCAGTATTTGGAAATGATAATATTTCTCCAAGTTCAAAAGAAATAAAGTATAAACCCAGTCCCAATAGAAAGACTTATTTCAGCTGCAACGGTAACTTCATTAATTTACCAAAACACACTGCTTCTAAAGACTCTACAGAATACAGTTATACAATTAATGCTGTAAAATACAATACAAAAAAAATGATAACTAAAAAAAAAGATGACTAAAGCAGCAATACAAACATACCAAGCACTTATAATCCTATAAGACTGAGGTAAATGTAGCTTTGAGTTTCCTAAAAGTCATAGTAAAAATGGAAAACATATCAGGTTAAATCATTTTCATTATATAAAAGTAAACAAGTCAGTTCCTCAAAGGAGAAAGTTTTTAATGATACTTAACACTGAAATAAAGAGATCCCAGGCTGCTCAGTGGGTAAAGAATATGCCTGCAATGTAGGAGACACAGAGATGCAAGTCCATCCCCGGGTCCAGAAGACCCCTTGGAGAAGGGCATGGCAACACACTTCAGGATTCTTGCCTGGAGAACCCCGTGGACAGAGGAACCTGGTGGGCTACAGTCCATAGGGTCGCAAAGAGTCGGACACGACTGAAGCGACTGACCACAGCACTACAAATAGCAACAAAAAAATCGCAGCCTCATGATTCTAATTTAAATACTTTCAAACGAAAAGAATTTGTTCTCCTGAGAGCTGGATCACTGGATTTTTTAAATCTAAGGGGTCCAAAATTCTACAGACCTACCTTCAGAACTAATTCTCTATAGGCATCTTTACAAGGGAATAAGGAATGAAAGTACCCTTCCTCTGCTACAGAGACCAGAACAGTCAAAAGATGTCAGTCTGCCCGTGTGTCAAAACATCCAATATACATCCAACCGTTATAAACTGTTAAATTCAATGTTAGACAGCCATCACGACCATCACGACAGCTACAAAGTACTTAAAAAGCGTCTGAAGAAATAGCTACAAAGACGACCCAGACAACTCTCCTAGACCTGCCAACCTTGGGCTCCCGGTGACCGCAAAGATCTCTGCGAGCGGGCGTGGAAACCCGGGTTGAGGACCACAAATACGCGAGGACCGCAAAGCCGCGTCCGTCCTTGCGCGTTCACATGCCGGAACCCTGAGGAACTCAAGGAAACTAACAGCCAGGAGCCAGACCAGAAGCCGCCGAAGGAGCGACCCAGCGGGGAGGGCCGTGCCTTGGTGGGGAGCCCACCTGGAGGGACGTGGTCACCTGGTAGGAGCCGCGATTCGGGCGGAAGGTTGGGCGGGAGGGGACTCACCTGCAGGCCACCCCAGGTGAGGAACTCACAGACCCCGCCGTGAGGGGCAGCAGACTAGTCGGAGGGCAGTCCCCGAGTCGGGAGCTCTCCCGGCGGTTAGTGCCGGACGGGGACCTCGCGGGGACTGACAGCGACAGCGGGAACGACCCCGGAGCTACCACGTGAGGGCCTGGCTTCTTCCGCCCAAAGCCCTCCGCGCAGGGCGGGGCTGGGCGGCACTGGGCGGGGCGGAAGGAGCGCGGGGGCGGGACGGCACGCGCGCCAGGCATCGCCAGCCGAGCGCCGAGGCGCCGCGCCCATTGGCGGAGACAGTTGCGCGTCGAGGCCCGAGCGGCCCGGCCCAGCCCGCGGCGGCTCCGCGTTAGTCAGTCATGGGGCGGCCGCCCAGAGCCGCCGCGGGGGCGGCAGGGCTCGGGGCTCGGGGGTCCGGCTGAGCCGGCTGCGGAGAGCGAGCCTGCTCTAGAGGAGTGTCTCTGGGCCAAAGTCGGGATGAAACTTGGCACATGGTGGCGGGGAGGACGCTGACGAGCGCGGCGATGCCCACCTGCAAGGGCGCCCTCGAGGCGGCCGCACCCCTGACAGCCGGCTGCGGGCTGTGCGCCGCGGAGCCCGAGGCCGCGGAGGGTCGGGGCGAGGCGTGGGCGGGGAGCCGAAGGTGAGGGAGCCGGCGTCCTGGGCTCGGCGGAAGTGCGGCCCTTCAGACTGCGGCGGGGGCGCCCCGGGCCGGCCCCCCCGCGGAGGCCGGCTGAGCTCTGACCTCTGACCTTGCAGGTGGCGGTCTTGGACCTGAAAGCCGGCCTGCGGGAGCCGGGGCGCGCGGGGACCGTTTGCTCCTAGGTGCCCCAGCGTTGCGGGGTGGGGGGCAGGGGACTGCGGTGGCCGAACTCGGTCTGGGTCCCAGCCCTGCTTGAGGGTGGAAGTCAGAAGGGGAGCTCGGGCCCTGTCCTTAGACTCAGGGAAGCTTCTTGTAGTGGATGGCTTGGTGACTACATCGGCCTTCTGTGGAAACCATGTAACTACCTATAATCTCAGTGAGCATTCGTTTCTTCTTCTGGGGTATTGACTGATAACTTAAAAGTGGACTTTTTAAAGGATACCCAAAAAAGGAATAACGTATATGAAAATGCTTGACAAATAGGATGTGTTCTGTTAATACTAATTATCGGCTTAATATTACAATTACTTTTTTGGTAATTTGTAGGTTCCTTGTGGGCGCAAGTTTTTTGCATTAAATGTGAAGCATGCTAACTTTTGATTTTTATGAATTATAAATATTTCCTGCCTTAAGAATCTGTATTAAACTGGAAAACCGAAAAATGGGCTTACCTTGAGCATTTTTTTGTTTGTTTTTGGTTATCAACGGTAAATCAGATTAGTGTGTTAGGGAGTGATTTTGATGCTTCTGCCTCTAAATGTGTGAAGTTTATGCTTGGTTCTGTCACTGGGGAATTAGGTAAAGGCCTCCTTTAACTATGCAGTCAACTAGTTTTTTGGTTTTACTTTTGCAAACAGACATCCTTCATAATACCTACGAAGGACGTCTTTGGAGAAAGGATTTTTGTTTGTTTGATGATTCAGTTGGAAGGAGGCCCCAAAGGTGCTGTTAAACAGCGTTACCCAGGACAGTGCTGGAAGCCCTTCCTAGCCTGTGACAGGCAGCTTCTCAGGTAGTAAATATTCTGATCATGCCTTCAACAAGCGTGTGGTAAGTTCTCACTGTTCTGTTCCCCAAGAGAACCCTTGGAACAGCAAGACATAGAGAGGAAGAGCTCAGACCCAGCAGCCAGGTGACCCAAGCGCCCCTCCTGGCACTGTGGACCCCACGGCACCTGTCTGACTTCTGTGAGCCTCAACTTTCTCATCTGAGGAATGTTCCCTACCCTATGGGTCAGTAAGTGCTAGGTATTAGTGTCATGGTGGTGTAGGAAACAAATAGTGTGGTGATTCCCAGGATAGAAGTTTGTTCCTGGGTTTGGTGGGCAGACGGAATCAGGCTCGAGGAAGAGATAGATGGCCAAGCTGGGCTGTGAAGCATGAGTGAGACTTAGGTAAACCAGGTGGGAGTGCCAGCTGGGGGAGAGGGGAGGGGGAGGGGTTCCTCCAGATTAAGAAGGAGCCTCTGACCAAAGCCCCTAAGGCTAGACAGTGGGGTGGTACCCGCCTGCTTTGTAAACAAAGACAGATCAGAGTAACCTTGATATCACTACATGGAGATGGGATTTTTTTTTTATCTTCCCCACTGGTGGAGGAAGGAGAAAGTTTTTAAACTGAGCACAGATGGCATCGGATTAGCTTTTTGGAGAGATTATACCTGTAGTAATGTGTAAAAGAAGGAAAGGCTCAGCCACTTGTCCTGGTAGCTTTGTGTCTGCCTTTTGACTCTGAAAGGAAAAGAACTGCTTACCAGAGGCAGGCATTTTAATCCAATCTGGAAGCTTAGAGAGCACTTGGAGAAGGCATAAAAAAACCTGGAGACCATTCCAGGCAACTTTTTCTCTTGAAAAGATCTTCAGGGATGTATTGTATATGCCTAACTACAAGGCAGGATTTCCCCCCCACCTCCCCCCTGAAGTTCAGTTCAGTCACTCAGTCGTGTCTGACTCTTTGCGACCCCATGAACTGCAGCATGCCAGGCCTCCCTGTCCATCACCAGCTCCCAGAGTCCACCCAAACCCATGTCCATCGAGTCGGTGATACTATCCAACCATCTCATCCTCTGTCGCCCCCTTCTCCTCCTGCCCTCAATCTTTCCCAGCATCAGGGTCTTTTCCAATGAGTCAGCTCTTCGAATCAGGTGGCCAAAGTATTGGAGTTTCAGCTTCAACATCACTCCTTCCAATGAACACCCAGAACTGAGCTCCTTTAGGATGGACTGGTTGGATCTCCTTGCAGGCCAAGGGACTCTCAAGAGTCTTCGCCAACGCCACAGTTCAAAAGCATCAGTTCTTCTGCACTCAGATTTCTTTATAATCCAACTCTCACATCCATGCATGACCACTGGAAAAACCATAGCTATGACAAGATGGACCTTTGTTAGCAAAGTATCCCTCTTAAAAGAAAGTGTCACCACAGGCTTAAGTGTCTCCTATTACAAACACTATAATTACACTTTCCAACAACAAGGTGCCGTTTGTGAAAGGTACTAGACTGAAACAATCTCAGTCAATGCTAGTTTGGGATTATTTATACAATCAGTATAGTATTAATAAGTGATAAGTAAAAAAGGTATGCCCACCTGAATGGGTATTGATGGCTTTGTTGAGATTTCCAGTGATGTGTGGGTTCAAGAAGTGCTGTGTCATAGGGGATTTGATAGATGCGAAGGTGATGTGTCCTAGAAGATGGAATTGATGATACAGAGTGGCTAAAGTGACCACAGAGGCATAGATGTTGAAGATATAAGCGGATGCTTGCGTGCATGCTAAGTCACTTCAGTGGTGTCTGCCTCTTTGCTGGTGAGTGGTTTCTGACTTCATAGACCAGAGCCCACCAGGCTCTTCTGTCCATAGGATTCTCCAGGCAAAAATACTGGAGTGGATTGCCATGCCCTCCTCCAGGGGATCTTCCTGATCCAGGAATGGAACCTTTTTTTAAGTTAACCAAATATTTTTCTTTATTAATTTTCCTATTGCAAGGGTAAAGTTGTTTTAGGTTTGAGCTTGTTTTTATTTGAATGTATTTGTATCTTAGTAACCTTACAGGGTTTGATAATAAGAAAAAGGTAGTACCATTTTTACAAGCAAAATACTAAGCTTTTGGAGATTTTGCAATTCAGTAATCAGAAGTATTTTGCAAAACTTTGTGAATTGACAGTTTTAAGTTATGATACGGTTTACTTTCACAAAATAATACTATGCTCTGGAACTGTGTTGTTCAATACAGTAAGCATTGGCCACGTGTGGTTGCTTTAATTAAAGCTTCAGTTCTTCAGTTGCATTAGTCACATTTTAATTGCTAAATAGCCCTTTGTGGCTGGTGGCTGCCACACTGAACAGTGCAGATGTAAAACATTTCCATCACTGCAGGAAGTCCTATGGGCAGTACTGTTGTTTTAGTTGTTTAGTCGTGTCCCAGTCTTTTGTGACCCCATGGACTATATAGCCCGCCAGGCTCCTCTATCCATGGGATTTCCCAGGCAGGAATACTGAAGTGGTTGTCATTTCCTTCTCCAAGGGATCTTCCCGACCCAGGAAGTGAACCGGCATCTCCTGTACTGGCAGATGGGAAGCACGTGGGCAGTACTACTCTAGAATAAAACTGTGATCTTTCCACTGAGACACACACGAGGGTTTAATGTCACTAAAGCATCTCCAAAACCTCATTTGAATCCTGTTTCAGAGAGAATGATAAACATAGGAAACCATATCCCCCTTATTCTGAGAGCACAATATCCTGTTCTTCTGTCTGCAGACGTTGTAAATGGAGTACATGTGAAAAGTTTTCTTTTTAAAATCAGACATGGTAGATATAGGTAGCCATTCTATAGATTGTGCCATACCCTTTCACATTAACACAGTTTCGTATAGAAATAAGGTTTCTGAGCCCTAAAACAGTGTTGAAGCAGGAATTAAATATTTGTGGCTTTCTTGGTTCATAAAAATCCAGAGAAATCACACGCCCAAAGTAAACTGTTGAGAATTCCAAGCAGGAGCTAGACAAAGCTCACTTTATTTTTAATGTGAATTTCCAAGATAAAAGCCCTGCTCTAGGGAACTGTCCATCTGGAGCAGCTGAGCAACAGTGGTGGCAGGAGAGGACGGCTGGGCTGGGTTGTGGAGGACGGTGTTTAGCATGTAGCAGCATAATCAGATTTGTCTTTTTCTCTGACCACTTTCGAAAGGGTGTTTGAGGTAGGCCTAGAGGTGGGAGGGTGTTGGAATAGTCTAGGTGAGAAGTGATCTGTGCTGTCAAAAAGCAGCAGTAAGGATGTAGTTGCACAGTGGCTCCAAGACAATCCTGTCTGGAATAGAAGGAGATGATGGCCGTTTAGAAGTGAGGTTGGGGGAGATAAGAGACGATGACCACTAGTTTTTGCTTGTTTGGTTTTGTTTTGGTTTTTGTTGTTGTTGTCTCTGTTGGTGGTTGGTGCACCATTAAGCTGGCTAGGAAGACTAGAAGGAGGAAGTATGGAAGAGAGAGAATTTCTTAGCACATTGCATTTCAGATGTTGGCAGCATCCAGATAGAGAAATCTTTCAGTCTTGAGCTCAGAAAGGTGATCTGACTACAAACAGCATAGAGTCTTGTGTCACTGGTGCTGTGATGCAGGGAATGTGAAGTATGGAAAGGGGGAACCAGAAGACATGCCTGCAGGGGAGGTGGGTGTTCAGCAGCCGGGAAACCATGTAAGATAGTAGGGGGAAAATGACTTAGATTTGACAAGATTTGAGGAATCTCAAGTCTTAGAAAACAGCTTGCCAATGTTGGCTGGCTGGGTAAGGAGACTAGTGCAGGCTTGGAGTGGCTGGGGGTAGGAAGCTATGGGAAAAGAAAGTAATTGACAAGAAAAGACTTCTGGGACTTTATGGAGGTCTCAGCTGATGTTAGAGAAGATCAATTTCTCTGTCATCTGGCTGCCAGACTGTATGATTTCTGCTCTACCCTATCCACTCCCAGATTGTACATTGCTTCCTGAGCCCCCAGCTGTGAGTATTCCTTAGTATTCCTTATTCCTGTAGTATTTATTTCTTAAGACACCATGGGAAAGAGCACAGCTTTTAACTCAAGTGTATTCTGCAAGTTTTAAAATTATATCATGTATGACTGAAACCAAGAATAGTCTGGTTCATTTATTTTTAAGCTATGATTTATATTTCCACAAAGCATTTAATCATGATGATTAATGCAAAAACTTAGATTTTTAGATGCTACTTAGAATAATCTGTCAATGGATTTTGCAAGCATGTAGAATGCTGCAGTGAAAGAAGAGAACTGTTATGTGAGTCCTTAGTAGGCACTTTACATCTCACTTCAAAAGTATAAAATGATTTTTGTCAGTTTTTAAACATAATTACAACTGGAAAACATACACTTAAAAAAAAAAAAACACAGAAACACCTAGCTGCTGTCCATATACTCAGAGAATTGATTTGAGGATGGTGGTGGTAAGTTTGCCTAGATTTGTTTTGAATTCATTTATCCTCAGAGCTGTCACCTTGTTATCTTAGGAGTGAGGGGAGACACACTATTCGCATGGTACTCATAGAATTGGGTAGTCCTTAGCCCATGAAGTGCTGGGCTGGGGCTGCCTCTTTAAGCACCCCTCCAACCACACACATTTGAACATATATGAGTGGGGTTAGGCTGCAGGGGAAAGTGTTAAGAGAGAGCTGTGGTTCTTTCTTCCTGGTGTTACTTTGAGGCAGGAAGGTGATCCTGTCCTGATCTTCTGTAGCAATTTTGTTGAAGTATTAAATAGTAGACAACTATTAATGTCTGAGAAATAGATACATCTTAGGTCAGAACCCTCATTTTAGTTTCCATAAATACTAATAATGTGATATGAAAAGAATGGTATGTATGTATGTATTTTTAACTTTAAAGTTAAAATATTTTATGTCAATTGAAAATTAAGAGAAAACCTGAAATTTTTTGACAAAGATGTAATCAGATTGAAAATCAATTTGAATTTAAAAGATTTTATAAATATGGTAGAAGATAAATAGGTAAGGGAATTGCAGTGTTAGTCTCATGCCTGAGTCTCTCAAAAAGACAGGTCCATTTTAAGGAGGGTTCGTTTTGTTTTGTTTCTTCTTTTCTTCATGTGTCCATTTATGGGTGTTCGTACTGTGGAGATCAGGCTTCCCAGGTGGCTCAGTGGTAAAGAATTCACCTGCCAAGCAAGAGACATGGGTTCAATCCCTGAGTAAGGAAGATGCTTTGGAGAAGGAAATGGCAACCGTCTCCAGCATTCCTGCCTGGGAAATCTCACAGACAGAGGAGCCTGCTGGGCTACAGTCCGTGGGGTCGCAAAAGGGTCAGAAACTATTGAGCTACGAAAAACAACATGGCATCTAGGGAAATCAGTCAAGGAAGAGGGACTGATTTCTCTGCAGAACTTTTTTCATTTATTATTTATTTCATTTAAAATATGTGTGCACTGGAATCTAGTCCAGGGAAGTCAGTTGGCTCATGTTTCTGATATTTTAGTTGAGTGCAGCTGTAAAAGAGACTTAATGCCTGTGTTCCTCCCCTTGAGATCAATGGCCTTGCAGATGATGCACTGCCTACCCTCAGGGAACGTCCTCATAAGTGGTGGTTTGGAGCCAGAAACTACTGTTTGGGGCAGCTAACTTGGGCAAATTCATTAGAGTCTGTATTTACAAACTAGTTTCTAGTAATCCCCAATAGGGCCAGTTGTGTTTGTTTTTTTCTCTTAACTGTTGTTCTAGCTGCTTTCTCTTTGCTGTCTCTTTTCCCCTTCTCTTTAAACATATATATACGTTGTCCCACCTTGGGCTCACTTGTCATTTCAGGGTCTGCTCTGTCAGTTTTCCCATGTCTTTTCCTGTGTACATTTTTTTCCTGTCAGACAGATAACCTCTTAACTCCCATCTTATTTGAGATACTAAGGGACATACATTGATAGTTTGCATTCCCATGGCAATAAGAGATGGTTAGTAGGAAATCTGGAAAAGTTTTAGTTTCAGCTAAAATATGAGGAATTCGGTTGCTTTGGAAGAGTTTGGAGACTAAGAATTCTATCACTGACTCAACCATATCAGACCCACTGCCTCTCCTTTTTAACAAATATTTGATACTGTCTCTAGATAATATAATCATTCTATACACTTGGTTTAAAATAACATTTATGATGTTGTGACATTTTATATTTGTATATAAATATGTGTTTTTGTATATGCATATCTCCAGCTTTACTGTTCTGTTGTATGACTTTTATGCAATGAAAAGTCAATCTTCAGATTATGTTTTTAAAAAATCTTTAGATTATGTTTTGAAAGAGTTAACATGAATCAGTTTGCAAGGATTATTTGTCAGTGATTTTGGAACAGCTTGTTTGGTGCAGTATATGGATAAAATAGTTATTTTGTTATTCACTGAAAGAAATTCCAATGGATAAAAATTATATATGGATAAATTTTTTTAATATTTAAAGAATAACAGATTTTTGAAACGTGAGGAATTTTAAATCTTAAAATAAATGGAGGAAATCAGAAAAGAGAAGTCCAGTGCCTATAATTGAAACTGAAAACTTAAACATATCCAAATAAATTATCAAAAAACATCTTCTACATACAGACAGAAAAATTAGAAGCACTTGATTTAAAGAAAGTTACCCTAATGGGGACAATCACATGTGTACAGATAATGTTTTTGCATTCCAGAATGGACACCATGTTTTGATTCTGAAGAAGAAAATATTGTTTACATCACCGGAGTGAACTTAGAAAATTCATCCAGCTGTCAGTGTTCATCTGGACTGCAGTATTCTTTACTCCAGGCAGAGGAGTGTCTGAGGCCAATAGCCGCATCAGTGGTTCCTGATATTGTGTGTGTGTGTATTTGGCTGGGCCAGGTCTTAGTTATGGCATGTGGGCTCGTTCCCTGAAGTGAAAGTGTTAGTCACTTAATCGTGTCCCACTCTTTGCGACCCCGTGGACTGTAGCTCACCAGGTTCCCCTGTCCATGGGATTCTCCAGGCAAGAATACTGGAGTAGGTTGCCATTCCCTTCTCCGGGGGATCTTCCTGACCCAGGGATCAAACCTGGGTCTCTTGCATTGAAGGCATATTCTTTACCATCTGAGCCACCAGGAAAGCCCCTAGTTCCCTGACCAGGAATTAAACCTGGGCCCCCTGCATTGGGAACACATAGTCTTTTTTTTTTTTTTTTTAGTTGGAGGCCAATTACTTTACAGGGAGCACATAGTCTTAACCACTGGACCACTAGGGAAGTCCAAGGAGTTTCTGTCATTCTTGATCATAAATTTAGAGTCAAGAAAAACAGTCCTTTTGAAAGGGAACTTTCAAACTAGCTTGAATTACCACCTCAAATTAGTTTGAATATTACCCCTGCATTTTCTCCCTTATAAGAATTCGTGAGAGGATTTCCCTGGTGGTCCCTGGTGCTCCATTGAGGGTCCACATGCCAGTGCAGGGAATGTGGGTTCAATCCCTAGTCCAAGAGGTACCCACGTGTCGTGGAGCACCTAAGCCCAAGAGCCACAACCGCTGAAGCCCATGTGCCCTAGAGCTGGTGCTCTGCAACAAGGGAGGTCACCGCAGTAAGAACCTGTGTGGTTTAAATAGAAGGATTGGTGAGAAGTTTTCTGATGCGTCCACATGTCCCCTTATTGTTTGGGTGCTTGTCTGTACCTGGTGTTACAGGTCAGGAGTGAGAAAGGCAGACAGCGTGACTGACGTGTAAACACACTGATCTGAATGGGGTGGGGGGGGATGTCTGGGACTTCTGTGTTTTCAGATATTTTGTACTGGGGTACAGCCGATGAACAACGCTGTGATAGTTTCAGGTCAACAGCAAAGGGGCTCACGCGAACAGCCGTTCTCCCTGTGGGGCTTTAGTATTAGGTTGGTGCAAAAGTAATTGCGGTTTTGGACCGTGAATTTTAAATCATTATAACTAGGTTCAGACACATCTTTATTAATCAAAATAGGAGAAAATAGGAGCTGTTACAATCAACACATTTTTGCCAACAAGAAATAAGTTTATTCCTATAGCATAAAAATGCACACTTTGGGATTTGACAAACTCTTGGAAAGCATGTTCTGCCTTCTGCTGGTTGTGGCAACATTTTCCCTGCAAAAAGTTGTCAGTTGCTTGAAGAAGTGGTAGTTGGTTGATGAGAGGTCAGGTGAATGCGGCAGATGAGGCAAAACTTGGTAGTCCAATTCATTCAACTTTTGAAGCATTGGTTGTGTGACATGCAGTCAGGCGTTGTCATGGAGAGGAATTGGGCCCTTTCTGTTGACCATTGTTGGCTGCAGGCATTGCAGTTTTCACTGTATCTCATCAATTTCCTGAGCATACTTCCCAGATGTAATGGTTTCACTGGGATTCAGAAAGCTGTAGTGGATCAGGCGGGCAGTAGGCCACTAAACAGTAGCTGTGACCTTTTTTTGGTGCATGTTTGGCTTTTGGAAGTGCTTTGGAGCTGCTTCTCAGTCTAGTCACTGAGCTGGCCATTGCTGGTTGTTATATATTTTTGTCACACATCACAATCTGATTGAGAAATGGTATATTGTTGTGTATATTAAGAGAAGACAATACTTGGAAATGATGATTTTTTTTTTTGTTAGCTCCTGAGGCACCCACTTACCAAGTTTTTTCACCTTTCCAACTGGCTTCAGATGCCAGTAGAATGGTCAACGTTGCGTTCTTCAGCAGCTTCTTGTGTAGTCGTAAGAGGATCAGCTTCAGTGATTGCTCTCAGTTGGTCACTGTCAACTTCTGATGGCCAGCCACTACTCTCCTCATCTTCAAGGCTCTGGTCTCCTTTGCAGAACTTCTTGAACCACCACATTAGCTAATTGATCATTAGCAGTTCCTAGGCCAAATGCGTTGTTGATGGCACGAGTTGTCTCCACTGCTTTATGACCCATTTTGAACTCAAATAAGAAAATTGTTCAGATTTGCATTTTGTCGAACCTCATTTCCATAGTCTAAAATAAATATAAACAGCAAGTAAATAAGTCATTAGCAAAAAAACATAAGGTGAGAAATGTCGTTAAAACGTTATATAACATAACCACGTTTATTTAAAAATGTATTCCAGTATCAAACAGCAAATTTAACAACACAAAAGCTACAATTACATTTGTACCAACCTAATATTTAAACTATTTTCATTTTCCATGATTGAAGTTGGCCAGGTGGTCATTGGGGCAGTAGATCAGGTGGGAGAGAGGATGAGGTTGGTCACTGAGGCTCTCCAGTCGGCCAGGTGGCCCCTACCCGTCATGACATCCAGCTGTCCATGTGACTCCCCCACAGGTCATGAAACGGGTCCGCACCGAGCAGATCCAGATGGCCGTGTCCTGCTACCTCAAACGCCGGCAGTACGGGGATGCGGATGGCCCACTGAAGCAAGGCCTGCGGCTGTCACAGAGCACCGAGGAGATGGCTGCCAGCCTTGCAGGTACCTTGCCCCTCTCCCAGAGGCAGCAGCTGGCCCAAGTGCCTCTTTGAAAACCCATCATGACACGTCCTCCCTTGGAATCCCAGGGCCTTTGAGCTGTACCTGATGTTGTGTGCGACTTTCTCCTTCCCTGAATGGGGGCAGGGTCGTCTCTTCCCTCTCCCATGGGCCCCTACTGTCTTACCTGGGCCTCACTCATGGAAGGCCAGGTTCTCCAGGATGAGGCCTTTGGGAAGTGGTTGGGAGTGTTGGCATCATACGCATATTCCTGAGGCTTAGAATGTGTTTCTGGTTTTGTTGTTTGAAATTGTTTTGAAATTGGATTTGGATTTTTTAGAAAAAATTTTGAGAAATTTTTCCTGCAGTACTTTTAGATTGGTTATAAGCGTCTTTAAATGGCCAAGGGTAAAGCTTGAGATTACAGTGCATTCTCTAGCTCAGCACTGGCTCCTCATAAGAAGCCCAGCAGGCATCTGCCTCCTTGTCTTCCATGTCAGACTCACTCACTCTCCCTCCCCTTCAGACTCAACTGGGTTCCCCTCACAAGGGCGGGGCCAGGTGATGGACTTGGAATAGATTCATGAATGCCGTACTGTTTCTAGTAAGATGGCCAGGGTCCCGGACATGAGTAACTCCTTCTAAGCTTGGCATCACAGTCTTTGGTAAGCTCCTGCTGCCTTGTGTTCGTTGGAACCTGTGCTGTTGCTGATGGTAGGGCAACCTACTGTTAAACCAAACTGTTAAATTTGTGTTCTCAGTTGTCTTGATTTAGATATGCTGGCATATCAGGAGAGGGCCTGTTATTTCTAGAAAACTGCCAGGAAAAGTGAGAAGCATGAAAAATGTGATTATCATAAAATTTTATCCTGAATAATTTGAGTAATCTGAATAATTATGTCTGCATTCAGCAGACGATCTCGAAGGCCTGCCGGTAGCCAGGTGCTGAGAAGTTCTAGAGAGAGCTGAGACTTGATCCTGGCTTCTGAGGTGCTTCACATTACAGTCGGGAAATGAGGCAGATAAATCAGCATTCGTGGGAGAGCGACATAGTGAGTCCTGTGAGGGGCATGCTCAGCCTCCATGCAAACAAAGAGCATACTCTTTACAGGTAGAGCTGCAGGTCAAGAGGGCTTCCCAGAAGGTCTAGTGGTTCCCAGCATATAGTCAGGGGTCAGTAAATCATAGAAAGAATGAGCTGAGTTTCCAAAGAACCACTAGGAGCTTATCAGGGGGAGAGTTGAAGGGGAGCATCCAAGGTACCAAATGTGGATTTTTAGAAGATGACTCTAGTGTCCGTGTTAACCGAGGCAGGGCCAGATGAGAACCAGGGGAGCAACTCAGAAGCCTCCGGTATGAGCCAGTCTGAAGTGAGGACAGCCTGAGCTGAAAGGCAGTCATCAGAAGAGTGTGGGGAGGACTCGTGACTGAGGACTCGAGACTGGCTTCCTCATGGAGGGGCAGCAGGAGGAGGCTGTTCCTACATGTGCAGCCTTCCATCAAGTCTCTTGAGTATCAGAGGGGACACTGATTATTCTCACCCATCTCCCCATCTCTGTGTGTTGTATGTCATGGCTCTACAGCCCTGCTGCGTTAATTACCTCCATGCTTAATTACACGTGTGTCAGTGTTTTATGCGGATTATTGCTAAAGATGGCTCCTCAGCCCCCAGCCACCTTTTTCCAGTCCTGAGGTTCGCACTCCCAGCAACAAGGGTAGGAGAACTTTGCTTTTCTTTTTAGAAAGCATGAACTCACAAAATGGTGATGAAGTGTATGTTTACATCCTGAGTATTCCAGCCTTCTTCCTCCTCCCATTACCGAGAACTTTGGCAGTCAAGCACCTGCTGACCAGGAAGGTGATTAACTATCGCTTGTTCCTGGTGGATCCGCCCTGCCCAACAGAAGAGATCTGAAGACATCACCAGGAAGATGCCACCCGGGTCCTCTTGGCTGATAAACCCATGCCCAGAGTTCTTGTCAGCTCTGTGATGCTGACTTTCAGGAAACTAGGGACTGTTGGTTCAGACCTTGAAAGAAGCTGATCTACTTCACATTAAAAATGGAAGTGAAAAGAAATGATGAGAAGCATCTTGGAGAAAACAAACAGCAGAAAGAAGAAAAACCTCAGAAATACCATCACTGATAATCTTGAAACAAGAGAATGCTATTTTGAGAGAAAAAAGAACGTTCAAATATTTGTGTTGTTACTCAGTTGCTCAGTCATGTCCAACTCTTTGTGACCTCACAAACTGCAGCACGCCAGGCTTCTCTGTCCATCACCAACTCCCAGAGCTTGCTCAAACTCATGTCTGTCGTCCCCTTCTCCTGCCTTCATCAAGTCTTTCCCAGCATCAGGGTTCTTTTTTAATGAGTCAGCTCTTCGCATCGGGTGGCCAAAGCATTGGAGCTTCAGTTTCAGCATCAGTCCTTCCAGTGAATATTCACAGTTTAATTTCCTTTAGGATTGACTGGTTTGATCTCCTTGCAGTCCAGGGGACTCTCAAGAGTCTTCTCCAGCACCACAGTTCAGAACCACTTATTTATGTATATACATGTGTTTACATGACAGTACAACTGAAAAATCATTAGAAGAGTTGAAAGTTGAGAAAGCCTCCCAGAGAGTAGAGCAGAAAGATAAAAAATGGAATCTGGGAGAGGTTAAAGGATCAGTTCAGTAGGCCTATCTAGAAATTATAGGAGTCCCGGAAAGAGAACACAAGAGAGTCAACAAAATGACTCAAGAGAATGTCTCAGAATTGCAAGGTGTGAATCTCCAGAGCGAAAGGGCCCCCGAATGCCCAGCACCGAGGTTGAAGGTAGACCCATCCAGGGCAAGTGATGGTGCAGTACCAGATCCTGGGCTCAGATGCGTCCCAAGGAGCCTCTTGTGAGTCTCTGCACCTCTCCTCTCATCTGGCTTGTGTATCCTGTGCTTTATACCTTTCGTTCCTCTGCTGGGCGGGTAGATGTATCAGTCATACTTAACCAGAAGCCCAACATCCTTTGAAAATGTCCTGAGATGCCCAGTGCTACTGACGCCCCTCAACACCAGCTGCCACCCATCCCGCCACATTTTAGGCTAATGATTGTCTTTCTGTCCGCATCTTGTGTGTCTCTTCCTCTGTAGTCCAATCAGAATCTGGTTGTGCCAACATAGTGTCCGCAGCCCCTTGCCAGGCAGAGCCCCAGCAGTATGAAGTACAGTTTGGACGGCTGCGGAATTTTCTCACCGGTAAGTACTCAGCACCAGCACCCTTTCCTTGTTAAAAAGGGGCGATGCACATTTCCCTCAGAACCTGCTATGTTCCAGCTGTGGTTTAGGTGCCAAGGATCCAAAGGTAGTTGAACACAAGTCTTGTATTCAAACTTATAGTTTGTTGGAACTCTTGAGAGAGTTAAATCAGGAGGCTTAAGGGCTCTGAGCATGCCCTAGTGAATAACTAGTGCATGGCCTTCAGCATAGTGACTGTAACTTGTGGTGAATAAGTGGAGGCTCACTCAGCCCTGTAAGGATGCCTCCTTACATGCAGCGGATGTGAAATGGACGTTGCTATCACTGCCGGTAAGACGGTACATCTCAAAATGGCCTTTTTCCCTTATTTCCAAAAGTGCAAGAGAGTAATCATACTCATGAATCAGCAACACAAAAAATTAAAAGTTGTAATTTAGAGCAGTTTGTGGGTGGTGTAATAACCGTGGAAATACAGAACCAGTAGATATGAATTATAATGAGGTTTCATAATTCACTTTTAAAAATGCAGTCATGTAGCCTTCCTGGTGCATGTAGTTCCTCATACATGGAGTGAATGAGGCTATTCAAAGGCAAAACCAAGGGATTTTGACTAGTCCTAAGACAGCTGATTATAATTTTAATGTTGGAAAGATGATTGCAATAAAAGTGACTACATTAATTCTGGTTCTTAGAGTCTTTTGTTGAGTACTTTCCTTACACATAACACCTTGAGGTGCAGGAAATACAAAACTTTCTCTGTCCTCAACAGATGGAGAGTAATTAGCCACACATCGGTTAGTAGAAAATTATAGTTCAAATACTTTGAAGTTGTTCTATTTTTCTTTGCTTATTTGAACAATCCTTGAGTTAATAATTTTTGTAAACAATCAGTATATAAACCAAAAATAGTATACCTGATTAAACACAGAGTTCTAATTTTAACTTCGCCTGCATAGTGGCTAGTGTTTTAAAGCAAAGAATTCACATTTCCTGCATTCTGTAGTTAGGCAAAATGACCACAATGTTACAGGAGATAAAGGTTACAAAATAAAACCCTAGAGAGGGTTATCTTATCAGTTTTACAGATGTTGAGTGATGGGATTCACAAGTAGAGAATAGTCTGTTAAATTGTTACAGAAATTAAAAAGTTGTGAAGATTAACAGTTTAATAAAAAGAGTCTATTATGTTTAAACTGGAAAGAAACTCCAGTAAGATCATTATATCATATGAATGTTAAATATCTCAGAACAGTGATCAGTTGCTTTCTGTGTCAGCTAAAGATAAAAAAAGAAAAATTGGATTTATAAAAAGAATTTCAATCAGAGGTAAGCAAGAACTTGGAGATGAAATATTTTTAACTATTGGCATTGGTTTTTGAGGCTTTAAGCAATTTTTAAATTTTTTAAAATCTGTTTTTAGAAAGTTATTTCACTTGGTTTTTAAAATGCAGCTATGATTTCCCCTTAAAGGATTTGTCTCATCAATCTAGTGATGAGGAAGGTGGTTTAAAAAGAATTGCCTGGCCTCATTTAGCCCTTCTCTTGTATCCGTTCAGACTGTATGTACATGAGGCGTTGACTGCACTGGGGCTAGGGGTAACAGTAGAGTGTGTTGGTGGGGGGCCTGCCCTCTGATGAAGGAGCCAGACAACTTGGGAAGCTCCAAATCTGTCACTGAGATAGTCTCTATTAGCCTTTTTCTGTGTAATTTCTCATCTTGTTTCACAACTGAGAAAGTTGCCTATTTGTCTATAATTTGATTCTTCAGTCCTTGGTCACAGGCTATCTTGAGAGGGAGAATATATATGGTTTTTCCTTACAGAATGTTTTTTCCTGGAACATTTTTCTCTACCATCAGGTCTCTGAAGAGTAGTCAGCCAAATCAAATGACTAGTTATCTCCTGAGCCCCAAGATGGAAGTATAACATATAGTCGTTAATCTGAATTGAGGTTAACCCTAAGTAAGAGGGCTGAACGTCACGATTTTTGCATGTGACAGTAGGGAAGTGTTCTCATGGACCAGTGTAGCACCAGCCGCCAGGTATTGAGTCCGCATTTGAAGTAAAGGGGGAGGGGTGGGGGTGTGGCACTTAGAGGTGGCCTTCTTGAGAAGGGTGGGCTTTACATTAGAACTTGGGTTTCAGGCATCTGTGGAAGAGAAGAAGGATTCAGGCTCTGTGCGGAGGCATGAACAGGGGCAGAGGTGGTGATTATGTGTTCAGGAACCTTGAAGGAGCCCTTTGTTGAAAATGGGCATTCAGATTGGAGAGAAAGACAGAGTGGAGAAAGGCTTAGAAGTGTGACCTTCATCCTGTGTGATGGAGACAAGCCTGGGTGTGACTGGGTATGGGAGCAGTGGACGAGTGTGTGTTAAGGGGTGATGGAGGCCAACCCCAGTCCACAGAGGCCCTGAGGAGGGAAACAGGGCTGCGGAAGTGGAAAGCGGGGTCTTGAGTCCATAGTTCCGTCGTCAAGGTGGGATATCCAGGAGTAAAGGAGGGAGAGCTGAGAATGACGGGCTTTACTGAGCAGAGATAAGTCAGGTTTACATGGTTAGGATGATGGCATCCTGCTGCATAGCATGTAAGGGACAGAACTCAGCATCAGCTGTGGGAAAGAACAAATTAAAGGCTAGGAGATGCAAACTCCTAAAGGAGATAATGGAGAAAGTGAGTACTAAAGCTGTGGCACCTGCATCATGTTTCTCCTCTCGAAGCTGTAGCGTGAGAGGTTCTGTGAGCTCACCTGTTGAGGGCCTTTTCTCCAGGGCACACAGTAGGAAGGGCATAGACTGCAGTCAGTCACTCTGGATCTGAACCTGGGATACCTGGGACTCTTAGATACAGTTTGGGTGTAAGTACCTGGCTCATTGAAGGCAGTGTCAGTTCCTTAAAGTGAGGTGAGCCTTTGAAGAGCAAGGGAGGAGGAGGAGCCCACAGGCTTGGATGGGAAGGGTCAGGCCAGTGGTGCTGCCTGCAAACAAAGGAAGGCGTTGGGTTGTGCCTGAAGGCCCAGCCCTGTGGACAGAGGCCAGGGAATGAGGACCGGTGTTGGTTTGACTTAGTGTCCTTTCAGTAAAACATGAGGTGTATATTGTGATTGCAAGGGAGCAAGATTAAAATTGAGCTAAAACTTCAAGTTAATCTCACCTTGTTCCAGATGTGTTGATGGGAATTTTTATACCTAATATACTGTTCTTTTCAGACAAGAGAGAATAATTAAACAACTTTTGAAACTATGAACTGAAACAGCAGTGAATTTTAGTTAAGTTTTAAAATACCGCATCCCTATTTCTAGATGACTAGTGTTTTTTTTTTTTATCCTGAGCTTAGTAAATTAAAATACCTCTCATTTTCAAAAATAAGCCTGAAACTTAAGATTGTAAGGAGTTGAAAACAGCCCTTCACCCCAAGAGAATATATTGGATGTCTAATTCATAAAATTGAATCTTTTTGTTAGTATTTTGAGGTTGAAATTTTCCGGAGGTCTTCTGAAGAATTATAGTATTCAAAGAAATACCAAAATCTGTATTAGGGTTCTCCAGAGAAACAGAACCAACAGAATGGAGTGTATATATAAAGAGGTTTATCTTAAGGAGCTGACACACATGATTGCAGAGACTGACAAGTCCAAAATCTTCAGGGCTGGCCTGCAGACCGGGACCCAGGGGAGTCACAGTTCATGTCCAAAAGCAGTCTGCTGGCAGAGTTCCCTCCTCTCTTCTTTGTGTCCCTAGACCTTCAGCTGATTGGATGAGCCCCACCCACATATGGAGGGGAACCCCCTCTGCTTAGTCTACTGGTTTAAGTGTTCATCTCATCTAAAAAATTTCCTTCATGGAAACATCTAGGATGTTTGACCCAATATCTAAGCACTGTGTCCTAGCCTCATTGACACATAAAATTAACCATCACAAGTCCATCCACTATGAACTTGGCACCCATACCCATCTTCTTAAAGCATAATTAATCTCCAGATAAAGATGATTAACAAGGTCATAATTCTACCTAACGCTCAGTACAGCTATATTTGGCCTCTTGGTGCGAGTAGCCAACTAATTGGAAAAGACCCTAATGCTGGGAAAGATTGAAGGCAATAGGAGAAGAGGGCGGCAGAGGATGAGATGACTAGATTGCATGAATTGAGCCAACTCTGGGAGACAGTGAAGGGCAGGGAAGTCTGGCAGTCCGTGGGGGTCACAGAGTCAGACATGACTTAGCAACTGAACAACAACAGCCAAAAATTTCCTAATCACTTTCTCAGAAGAAGAAACAAAGCCCACAGGTAGTGTTTGCTCTTCTTGAAGTCCTGTGATTTGAGTGCTGTGATACAGGGACTTCCCTAGTGGTCCAGTGGTCAGGACTCTGTGCTTCCACTGCAGGGGTCGTGCGTTCAGTCCCTGCTCAGGGAACCAAGACCCTGCATGCCATGTGGCACAGCCAACAAGAGGAGTAAATACTGTGATGCAAAGTCAGGGTAACTTATATTCTGTGGTAGGGGATAAGAAAAGAAAGAAAACAGATATTTGCTTATGTACAGATACTCACGCCAGCATGTTCATAATAAAATGAGGAGGAGTACTCATGGTAGTTACAGTTCTGGGGTCTGCAACTGGTCACATGGTCATAGCTCGTCTTTAACTACCTTCTACTCCCTATTCAGTATTGCTTTTACCTCTAGTTAGCACCTCAGCTGGTCCTGGTTCTTTACATGGTCCTGCCTTGGTTGGGTTGCTGCGTTTGTTTTATCCACCATCGCCTCAGGAGTGGTCGCACTGAGGTGCCGTACGTGACCTCCTGTGTCGTGGACATGCTCTCCTTTCCCCTGCTGTGGGGCAGCAGCTTCCCCTCGGCAATCAGGCTCAGTCACCCAGCCAGCACCAGAGCACCCTGCGCCTGTCGGCTCAGAGGCAGGAGCCTGAAGCAGCTGGGCAGCAGCCCCAGTTCAGTGTGAGATCACTGTAATTGAAGTTCATCTTCTAAGAATGCATTTGAGTGGGGGCATGTTTATCCTTAAATGCACATACTGTGCAGTTAATTCACCTGTGGTAAGGTGAAATAGAGCATTAAGCAGAGGTAGCGTGCTGGAGTCATCTCCCTTCCGATTAGAGAGATAAGTGCCCTAATTCAGTATTCCTGAATCTTGAGACAGGTGTGGATTCCTTTTCATGGAATAAAAAAGGAAAATGCTAGCAGAATGTTGTATAAGTGCTAACTTAAAGCATTTTTTTATTAATTTCCTTAGGTACATACAGACATTACACTAGATATGAAACTTTTAAGCTTCCTTTGTTTGAACCTAAACTCATTTACAAATAAAGTACAAGCAAAATCACAAAAACTAAAGTTCCGATAGCCAGTGAATGTGACAGATGGATTTTGCCATAAATAGCTCACTGCGCCACATAGACCGGGGGCTGGTGTTCCCTGGCTCCCCCAAGGCGCTGGTGCACGGGCGTCCCTCCTTGCTGGCTGTTGCTTCTGTGCATGTGGCCGTGGGACCTTTGCCCTGTCCCAGCTCTCTGCCTTCCCTCACTTAGGTGTCACACACACACCTCTGTACTGTTCTTGTTAGCCTGTGACCAAAGTATACACTTACTTGAACATTCTTTGTCATGTGGTTTCATGTTGTTTAAGTCTCACATTGGTAAATGGTTTAGTTTTAATGACATGAAAATGTTCCTCTTATAAATTATCGCTGCAAAGAGAAGTTGTCCTTTTTAATCAGCAAAATCAAAATGAGTACACTGAGAGGTGTGAGACACGTAGGGATGAACAGTGTCGTCTTAGCGCTGGGACATGCCAACCAGGGAACTGTACATGTCCGTGAGCCTGCTAAACTCAGAGCTTCGATGTTACTACAGGAGATGAGAGCACTAAAACTGTATGCCAGTACTTGCTGAAGGCCATCCAGATAAGTCTGAATTTACCTGTGTTTCCTTTTTAAATTGTCAAGTTAAAGTTTCAGTGAAGAACTCACGTATCCCCAGAATCCATGTAAGGTCTCTCCAAGGTCTGAGATCCCAATTTGAGCAACGCTAATACTTTGGGGAAAATGCTAACCCAAAGGCCTGGATGCAAGCTCCTTTGCATGTGTGTAAGAAGAAGCATACTGTTTAGCCTCTGGGCATCAGATTCCAGACTTGCTGGCCTTCTGGGTCTATGATCTTCCTTCCTTGGTCAAAGGCTTCGGCTCCAAGTTTCCAGAATTTTGTGTTGGGCTTATACTTCAATCCAGAGCCTCAGAAAGTAGGGTCCTGGCCAGAAGGTGACTGTGCGCTCCACAGGAGACCATGCTGGTTGTAAAGGCTTCACTTCTTTTTCCTTACAGATTCTGACTCCCAGCACAGCCACGAAGTGATGCCTCTCCTCTACCCTCTCTTTGTCTACCTCCATCTCAACCTGGTCCAGAACAGTCCGAAGAGCACAGTGGAAAGCTTTTACAGCCGCTTCCATGGAATGTTTCTGCAGAACGCCAGCCAGAAGGATGTCATCGAGCAGCTCCAGACCACACAGACCATCCAGGACATCCTGTCTAACTTCCGGCTGCGAGCCTTCCTGGACAACAAGTACGTGGTTCGTCTGCAGGAAGACAGCTACAACTACCTTCTCCGCTACCTCCAGAGTGACAACAACACCGCGCTGTGCAGGGTCCTCGCCTGGCACATCCACCTGGACGTGCAGCCCGCCAAGAGGACGGACTACCAGCTCTACGCCAGCGGGGGCTCTTCCCGCGGCGAGGGTGGTGGCCTGGAGCCCGCCGACGTGCCGGCGCCCATCCTGCAGAATGAGGCCGCGCTGGAGCTCCTGCAGGAGAGCATCAAGCGCGTCAAGGACGGCCCCCCCTCGCTCACCACCATCTGCTTCTACGCCTTCTACAACACAGAGCAGCTGCTGAACACTGCAGAGGTCTCCCCGGACAGCAAGCTGCTCGCGGCAGGCTTCGACAACTCCTGTATAAAACTGTGGAGTCTGCGCTCCAAGAAGTTAAAGTCAGAACCCCATCAAGTAGATGTGTCCCGCATCCACTTGGCTTGTGATATCCTCGAAGAGGAGGTAGGCATATAGGTTTTTCTTCCCTGCACCTGCCTTACTAATATGCTTCGAGTATTCTTACCAAACATGACAGATCTTATAGCAAATGGACTTCATTATATTCCTCATCATATAACTAATGCCAGACTAATGCCTGGTAACCTGTAACCAGTGAATTCCTGCTAATGGCCAACCTTGGCCAAGAGGAAAATGTTAATGTGAGCTGAACATCATTAATGAATGGTCAGTATGTATGTATTACTACCTGAAATGTGGATATCATTGCTGAGCCTAAAGACCTTTAGCTATGTGTGTGAGTGTGCATGTGTGCATATATAAGCAATCAGAAGTAGGATTACTGGGTCAAAAGGTATATTGCCTTTTCCCAAGAGTAAACTAGGATGCTGTTTCTCTTTCCCCTCCCCCCCCCCCNTTCACAGCAATGTAGTCCTCTGACTTCACCCAGGGTGTCCTGTTTTCGTCCAGTAGTCAGCATAATGATCTTGTTTGCTTTGATTGGGGGTGGTCATTGAAAAGGGCAGGCCTAATGGCCTGAGTTTCAGGTCACTGAGAAGCACTGGCTCAGAAAAAGAGAGGGCAAAGGGAAATAGACGTGGAACTTCACAGAGTTCACCTTGCCTGAGAGTGGTGCCTCAGAATTTGCAGGGAGAATAGCTTTTTCATATCACCATTGGAATTCAGGTAGCTCAGACTCAACTTACTTTGGATGAAAAATTCTTTGCACTAGGTTGAAAGGTTAAGGGTTTAAAAAAAAAAAGTCACTCAAGTTAATTTCCAGTTGCTGATAAGGATGTCAAGAATATTGGATATATAAAGTCAGCCTTTCTTACCTATTCCTGTTTTCTGAGTCATTTTCCAGTTAGTATGGCCTTTGAGTCTTTGCTTCTTGAAGTTGAAAGAGGAAAATTAGAGGAGTTTGTTATGATGAATAAAGAATCTAAATTCTGATGCATGAACTTTGATTTGTAGAATCTGTATTGCCCTCCAGAATATTTTTCATTGCACACATATTTGAATTATCAAGTTTCTCTTCACTGGGGACAGTTCTAGCTTCTTGGGGGCTCTTCACATTCCGTGAGGGATACTGCCCTCATCTACTCTCAATTTTCTATTTAGAAAAATTATTCCTGCTGACCTTACTAGTTTTAATGATATGATACTGGTTTGGGGATTAGTCTTGGCATTAAAAAATAATATAAAGAAAGATAGCAAAGGTAGAAAGATAGGTGCAAAGATGGAAAGAACATTAGATTAAAATAAAAATTTTTAAGATTCCCCGCTGGCTACCACTGAATTTTATGTGTGAATTTTATCTCATTTTTTAAAAAACCAAGAGCAATAACCAAAACCTTCTGTGTAAGCATAAAATTACCCCCAATTCAACTGGATTTACAGCACTGCCCTCAGCTTCTGCCATTTCCACTGGAAGAGAATATTGATTAGCCTTGGGAATCTGTTTGCTGGCCCAGCGCTGCTGCTCCTGTCACCCCGGTGCCAGCAACCTCCTCCGGGTGGAGACATGCGGAGTGGAAAGCGGGCCTGCCCTCCCACTTTGCGCCATACTAGATGATGGAGAGAGCTTGTCGATTGGCAGCTGCACGTTGTTAATATTTGTGCAGCATGATAAAGCCACAGGTACCAGAAAGGAGGACTTGCCCTTCTCTCCAGTCAAGTGGCTAGGACATCAGCCTCCCTGCAGCCTCCGCCCAGCCACGCCGCTCTGTGTTCAGTTCATTAACGTCTGCTCGTTCTGCCCCAGCCTGGCCATGGCTAGCCAATAGGAATACAGTGTGAGCCATATGTGTAATTCAAGTTTTTCTGGTCAGCACATTAAAAAGGTAAGAAGTAGTTGATATTAATTTTAATAATGTATTTTCAATTCATTATAGCCAAAATATTATCATTCTGCATGTAAGCAGTATTTTCAAAGTTTTAATGAAATCTGTTACATTCTACCTTTTTGTCCTAAACCTTAGAAACTGTTGTGTATTTACACATATAGCACATGTCCATTTACACTGGCCAGCAGCCACCTTTTCTCTCCTCCATCAGGCTGCTGTCTGCTCACACAGTAGCAGTGTCTCACCTGCTTCCAGGTCTTACCCACTCCCAAGCCCAGCCATATTTAATTTCTTTCAGCTCCATTGGTGGCTGATTGGAGAACAACCCAAGGCTTGTTCAGATCCCAAAGCACGCTGACCGAGGACTGACTGCACTGTAGCTAGGGTGCTGGGGTGCGCTAGTCCAGAAGCAGACTCGGGGGCTCCTTGGTCTAAGGCAGGGTCAGCAGACTGTAGTATTCAAAGAGCCTTTATACTTATTTTTCTTACTCTTTTAAAATTTCTATTTTAAGCATATCTTATAATGTACATAATATAGTTCATTATCATGTGAATGTACTTTACAAATTAAAAATTCCCATTTGGGATGCATCTGGGGTAGAATTTACTGTGGGTGGGGGGTGGTTAGACAGTTGTAGAACGTTTGGGGTGTTGTCCTGTTAGCATGGGAGGGGTCTGTATGGTCAGGCATGGGTGACCCATTGCTTGTTCAGGGTTTCAGCTCAGCTGCACTGAGGCCATTGTGGGGCTGCCTGAGCCACAGAAGAAAATGTGGCCAAACTATTTTAAGCTGTGGTCCTGGCAGGGAGTTGATAGGGCTAGCCTGTAGGACTGTTCTAGTTTCCCTGTTTCTTGGCTTATAGAGTCAGCAGGCACTTTGCACAGGCTCAGGACAGTCGTGGGGCCCCTGAGAAGGTCGCCTGTCTTCCAGCGCGTCCTCCTCTCTCTGCCTCTCTGCACTCGGAGGCGGGACCAATGCCAGGACTTCCTGCTCCACACGAAGATGTCTTACGCCGCAGAGATAAGCTCTGGTGTAGAGCAGTGCGTTGTTCCTGAAATTTTAAAGTGTTACTGTAACCTCTTTGGAAAGGAAAATTACTAATATTCTTGGTAATACTCAGTAGAACCTTAAGCTCCCAAATGCTTATGTATTTTCAATGTTGATTATCCAGAATAGCCATTTTGAATATCCATGAACATCAATGTTTATTTTCTCTTAACTCTTCTCAAAAATGTATACGTTGGAGGCATTCATTCTATTTTTTAATTTAATAGTTTTCAAATAGAAATTAAAAGGATGGCCTTTTTCTGTACAAAGGCTCACAAAAGTATTTATTTCTCAGCCAGCAAGGCCCATTTGGTTCAAGAAGCTTCATCTTAACTTCTTATTCTTCCAGTGTAAACCTGAAACTCATTTGACTTTATGAATTCCAGGATTGAGATATTTGCAGTTATAAGACAAGAACAAAAGGAAAGTAGATTTGAACCCAGAGAATATGCTTGGACATGTGGCAGGGGGCCTGCCCCCCACCCCTGCCCCTTTTACCAGGAGTTGTCTTTCTTATCCCTACACATAAGGGTTTATTTCCAGGAATCACAAGACTCACTCGACTCTGAGAGGAATTCTGAATCCTTGCCTCCTTTTTTACTTTGGGAAAATATTTGAGCCAATGCAGAAAGTCACGGTTTCAAAACTGTTCTTTCTTTTTGGGTACCAGCCGTTCATGTCTGGTTACAGGGCGTGGGTGTAAGTTACCGATGACTGCACTTGCCTGGCCCACGGTTATTTCTGTGATATGTCCAGGTTTTATTTTTGGCTAAACTCCCACAGCGGTTCTGTATACATCTTGAAGTGAAACCACATCTGCCTCCATCACTGACCCCAGCTGTGGGGTGATTTTTCTCAATGGGCTAGAAACAGGGAGCACTGTGGCCTGCAAAGCAGCCAGGACTGACAGGTGAAGACATGCCCGTAGAATAAAAGAATCCAAGAACATAACATCAAAAATAAATTTTTTCTACTGATGGACTTTTGAATTTTGAAGTCTGTGCTCAGCGTAAGAGTAAGGTCCATGGTCATTACTCTGCAGTAGTAGCCTTGCTAGAGTGTTAGCTACAAGGTGAATTTAAAGAAAGCAAATTTATAAGTTGTAGGAGACTTTTTATTCAGTTACTCAATTACAAGGAGCTCTCCTGGGGTCACCCTGAAGGACAGAGTCAGGTACTGGGTAGATGCTGTTTCCCAAGCAGGTCTCTTTGTTTCTGGACATTTTGTTCTCCGTGGCAGACTGCTAAACTCTTCTCTTGTGTGTCCCCACGACCCCCAGGATGACGAGGATGACAGTGCAGGCACGGAGATGAAGGTCCTGCGGGGACACTGCGGGCCAGTGTACAGCACCAGGTTCCTCGCGGACAGCTCGGGGCTGCTCTCCTGCTCCGAAGACATGTCCATCAGGTACTGGGACCTGGGCAGCTTCACCAACACCGTGCGGTACCAGGGCCATGCATACCCCGTATGGGACCTGGACATCAGCCCGCACAGCCTGTACTTCGCCAGCGGGTCCCACGACCGCACGGCCCGGCTGTGGTCATTTGATCGGACGTACCCACTGCGAATTTACGCCGGGCACCTGGCAGACGTGGACTGTGTCAAGTTCCACCCCAATTCAAACTACTTAGCCACGGGCTCGACCGATAAGACGGTGCGGCTGTGGAGCACCCAGCAGGGGAACTCAGTGAGGCTCTTCACGGGCCACCGCGGCCCTGTGCTCTCCCTGGCCTTTTCCCCCAATGGTAAGTACCTGGCATCCGCGGGCGAGGACCAGCGGCTGAAGCTTTGGGACCTGGCGTCCGGGACCCTCTACAAAGAGCTGCGGGGCCACACGGACAACATCACCAGCCTGACCTTCAGCCCGGACAGCAGCCTGATCGCGTCCGCATCCATGGACAACTCTGTGCGTGTCTGGGACATTAGAAGCGCGCACTGCAGCACCCCCGCGGACGGCTCATCCAGCGAGCTCGTGGGCGTCTACACTGGCCAGATGAGCAATGTTCTGAGCGTGCAGTTTATGGCCTGCAACCTCCTGCTGGTGACCGGAATCACACAAGAAAGTCAGGAACATTGATTTGGATCTTTGATATGACAGACTGGGGCATACTAAGGGCTCCAGACGGCAAGTCTTAGGACAGACAGAATCACTGACTGACTGTGAAAGACTCCCCGTGTCCCCCCTTGCCCTTCCGGTGTCCCGAACCCACCACTCTCCACTCAGCCCCCAGGTGTGGAAGCACAGAGCCAGGAAGGGTGGTGACGGGGAGCAAACGTGAGATAGGAATCACGGAGATCCCACTGTGTCCTCATGTGGCCCCTCCCTATCTCTGGCACCAAGGTGCCCTTGCCTCGCTGAGGCTGCACTTGACCTGAGGATGTTTGCCAGGCACCCTCCCCAGGAGCAGTGCCGCAGGGTCACCGGGTGGAAGGGACTCTCTCCAGGGAGGAATGCGGGGGTGAGAATTAGGCAAGGGGGCAGGGTCATCCTGGCAAATGTTTTTCCTTTTCTGTGATTACAGAGAACCAGGACTGTTTATTATTGTTATTATAATTATTACTGAGAAGAGGAGACCTAGCACTGGCAGAGGGGGCTTCTCTGCTCTCATCTTTCAGGTCTTACTCCTGGCACTGGCTGTGACACTTGGAGTTTTGAGGTTCAGGGAATTGAGAGAACTTGGTCGCGCAGTGTGTTGGGAGAAAGGGAAATCTCCTGAGTGACAGCTGGATCACTCCGGCTGACATGTTTCTGAAAGTGGGTGGGCGGATTTGACTGAGAAAGTCTTGGGCTCTTGCAGCAGTGGTGTGAAAGAAAGATTCTTTTTGTGGCTGCACTTCTATTAACAATTCTCTCCCCCAAAAGGTCGGATTGTGGTAAAGAAATGAAAATGATTAGAAGTGAAAAGTCAAAAGAAAGAATTAAAAAATGTTGAATTTCCAAATGATTCCGAGGTGTGGCTTTTCCAGCATCTTTTCCTCCTGAGATCATCCCTCCCACCTGCTTTGCGATAGCAGTTTATTGAACAGTCTGTGAAACAAATCATAAGTACGAACACATGCATCAAAAACTATGCTCTGAGGATGAAGCGACTTCTAATTTGTGGGAAAAGGATTAAATATTTCTGTTTTCTGAAAAGAGTTATTTTGTATTTTGTTTTCTATTAAAATGTGTTTAGTTTCCAAAAAACAGTGTTGGCATCTCTTTTAAACTGAGGACAGGCGGGTATGTGAGCTGTTTTGGAAGGCACAGCACACCTCTCTTCAGAGTGACAGCTGGTGGTGCAGACTGGACTCCCCAGATGCCCTCTTGTCTCCCCTTGTATTCTGTTCAGCTGGCTTCAAATTGTGTTTCATCTTGCATTCATAGGGATTATTGAAAGCATTTAACACTTTTTTTACACATCCAGACTTGCCAGTTGCTGACCAGAGATGACATATATTTTTCTGTCTATAGTTATTTGGTGACATCCTATTTCAGTTTTCTTTAAAGACCCCATGATAAAATCCCTGAGGGGCATTACAAATGATGTCATTTAATTAACTCAAACCATTTATTGAACCATTTCAGGTAAAGGACTCATTTAAAGATGTAAATGATGTGTGAATTTTTTTAATGTACTTTTAAAACATAATTTTCTGACAAGGACACTAGAATTCTATGCCCAGAAAGTTTTTTTGTTTAACTTGAGCCCAAAATACTAATTAACAGGAAGTATTTCTTATTCATAAAAACTCATGTATTTGAGACATTCTAAGAAATCTTTGGCAACTTAGCCAGACAGCATCACCTTCCACATGGTCTACTGGTAAAGCCTGGGATTCAGATGTGTTCTTATCTGTAATAAATGAGCTCTTAGATTGTGTGGTATATTACTAGAAACCATGAATTCCTAAATTGGGCTGAATCATTCTCAGAAGTGAAAATATCACTGATTTTAGGTTTCATGTTTGTCTTTTAATGCAGAATTTCTTTGATTAAACACAAAAGTGCCTTGGTTTGGTCAGCCTTCATACTACAGATCACATACACACTGTGATTTCATTTCAGGCTCTTAATGAGCTGCATCTTTGGCCCTTTTCTTTTCTGGATTAATTTTAATGTGGAGTAATTTAACTTTATAGAATACCCCTCACTACTTTCCCAGAATCTTAGAAACATTGTAAGGGTCTGTGTGTATCCTTATGTCCACAAGGTGCCTAAGAACATGGTTACACTCAACTCTTCAGCTTCCTTTCTTGTATTGTTTTATCTTCAGAGCAATCCTGTGAGGCAGACAGGACTAGAGATATTACCATTCTGTAGATGAAATATTAAGATACCTGGAAGAACTGTTTTATCTATCTATACCCAACAGGGAGTATTCATGTCTCAGGTGTGTTATAGAGAGGGTCTGTATTCCAAATATTCAAGTTTTAGATAAAGGATATAGCCCTGAAGATAGAAAAACTTAAAAAAAAAAAAAAACTCTGAAAAGGAAATATAAATAAATTTAAAAGGCATGTATATAGTGCCTTCTATCTGCCAGAAACTCCAGTTACTTTATGAAAATTAATTTATCTCCATAACATCCCTGTGAATTAAGTGCCATTTTTATCCTCATTTTACAGATGAAGACTCTGAGGCACTGAAGGGTTAAGTCACCTGCCAAGGGTCATCAGTTACAGCTGGTAACTGATGAGGTCAGAATCTGAACTAGGCAGTCGCTCAGGGTCCATGCTTCCTGCAGTTTCCCTTCATCCCAACAGAACCAGGTAAAAGAGTGGCCTGCGGTCTGTAGTAACCGTGCTCCCGGCAACAGAAGATTCATGCTTCTCTTTCCCAGGTCAACAATAAGCAGGATCAAGAACTGGCAGTAAGAAAAAACTCAATATATAGATGAAAGATACCTGAGAATAGTAAGTTATTTTAAAATACAATGATAAATCTCTGCAAAGTGTGTAAGGTGGGGGAAGAAAACAGCTGAAATTTCTTAGGAAATCTCTGTAATTTAGCAATAGACTGGCCAAAAGAGCAAAAACTAGGATAAAGAAAGTAATGAAAGACATAGACACGGAAACAATTTACAGTTATGTTCAAGATCCAGCTTCTAAGGATATCCATGATTCCTAGTTACTCATTTGTTTTATGCCTGTATTTAAAATGTCTTGGTTGTATTTAAAAAAAAAAAAACTTGCACATGTAGGCTTCTGATTTTGCTATTGCCCAGATTGATATTAAGTATATGAATTAAAAGATTAGTCTCTACTTCAACTTGTCTTTCAGTTGTGTGTTTTAGAAAAGTGTTCATTGTATCTATGCCTAACTGACACCAAGACTCCATATTATTGTCACCTGCATAGCAGCCAGATGACTCAAACTGCTTTGTGGGGAACAGAAAATCTTCACTGTGGAGCTTAAAGAATGCAGACATTCCTTGTCAGTTTCACCCACTGAAGGAGACTTTGGATCAGTCAGTTCAGTCGCTCAGTCGTGTTCGACTCTTTGCGACCCCATGAACAGCAGCACGCCAGGCCTCCCTGTCCATCACCAACTCCCGGAGTCCACCCAACCTCATGTCCATTGAGTCGGTGATGCCATCCAACCATCTCATCCTCTGTCATCCCCTTCTTCTCCTGCCCTCAGTCTTTCCCAGCATCAGGGTCTTTTCCAGTGAGTCAGCTCTTCGCATCAGGAGGCCAAAGTACTGGAGCTTCAGCTTCAACATCAGTCCTTCCAGTGAACACCCAGGACTGATCTCCTTTAGGATGGACTGGNTAAGTTAAATAAGCAGGGTGACACTACACAGCCTTGACATACTCCTTTTCCTATTTGGAACCAGTTTGTTGTTCCATGTCCAGTTCTAACTGTTGCTTCCTGATCTGCATACAGGTTTCTCAAGAGGCAGGTCAGGTGGTCTGGTATTCCCATCTCTTTAAGAATTTTCCACAGTTTGTTGTGATTCACAGAGTCAAAGGCTTTTGCGTTGTCAATAAAGCAGAAATAGATGTTTTTCTGGAACCCTCTTGCTTTTTCAATAAGTTGGATACTCGCCTTTGAGTGACTGAAATTCAAAAAAAGTTACATTAATGTGTCTGTTATGATCAAATGTTGTGTTAGTGGGTGGAAATAAAATGGATACAGTCCCTGGCTTGAGTTTAGAGAGGGGGGCAGGTATTAATCAAACAATAACCAGGTTACTAGTTGAGAGAGTGGGCTGTGGACTGTTTCAGATTGAAACATAATTTCAGTGTGTGGTGCGTGCTGTACCACACCATGGATGCCATGGAAGAGTAAACCCAGGGATCTGAAGAGTCGTTCAGCTCAGACCTGGAGGGTGGGAAGGAGTCAGCCAGGTGGAGTCCAGGAGGGAACCCGGTACACCAAGGAGTCCAGCAGGGCCGAGGCAGTGTGACGAGCCCACATGTAACTGGCACAGCTTTTCACACCATCAGGAGTTCGGGTTTCATCCCTGGTGTGGTGGGAGCCACTGCTGGATATAGAAGTTTCCCTGTTAATGTCACTGGCAACAGGGGGCATACAGACTTCATGTTCACAACTGGAATTCAATGTCAGGATAACTAGGCATCGTTTACTGAACCCACAGTGCCAGGCACTGCAAGGCACTGCTGCCAGATGGAAGCCATCTGCCCTACCAAGTGGCCCCTGGGGCAGTGAACTGAGAGTGGCCTCCAATCAGGAACCAGTGAGGACCCAATTCTGCCGACAGCCACACGGGTGAGCTTGGGTGCAGACTCTGCCTGGCCAAGCCTTCAAATATGGCTGCTCCTGGCTGACCCGGAGGCAGAGGCGTTGCATAAGTGTACAGGGTCCCAGCCCACACTGGAGTTGGGCGATTTCTTGTGTAGCAGTAGATAACCAGCCCATCTGCCGCACTCCACAGTCCACTCTCTCAACTAGTACAGTACAGATAATGACAGAATTACTGATTTTAAAAACGATCAGTGGCAGGCAGAAGGAACACAGAGCCGGGGGCCCAAGGAAGTTCGCTGCAGTCGTGCAGGGGAGGGAGGTGGGCGGCTGGGCCAGAGTGGCCACAGAAGGCACGGGGAGAAGAGGATAGATGCACTGCGTGCTTCAGAGTGGGCTTTGGCTGGACTCTGTCCTGGACGGGACGGGAGGGAAGAAGAAAGGACACGTGGCTGACCCCTGTGTCACCCACTGGTGAAAATACTAGAGGAAGAAGAGTTTCCAGGAAAAGATAGTTTGCACCTCTTAGGTTTGAGATGCTTATGAGAACCAAGTGAAGATGTCAGACTGGCCTTTGGAGAGGGACAGATGACACGCTCAGGAGAGGTCGAGCCTGACAGGCTAGTTCAGAGGTTGTCTTCATTACAGCACTTTCTGCCCCTCGGAACAGAAACAGGACTCCAAGTGGCTTTTAAGGTAAGGGCTCTTATTAGTTTATACAACAAAGTGGAGAGGTCAGCTCTCTCATGGGCTCTCACTGAGGATTCTGCTCTGTCTGTGATTCCACTGCTCTTCCTGGCTGAGAAGCCTGGAGGAGAAAAAGCTTCAAAATCAGAGTGGTCAGCTTACTACCAAGAATTCAAATGAAATAAGGATTCGAGAATATCCATTAGATTTGAGGGGTGGGGGCAGAGCTCTAAAAGTTATGGTTGAATAATGAATTAGAAAGAGCATTGAAAGTGCTCAAAAAGTAAAAGGGTAATAGGAAGCAAATATGAAGACTGTGAAGGTGGCACCAAGAAAACGGAAGGACAGAACTGGACCACAGTGCCGAGACACTGCGAGACACAGGGGAAAAGTTAAAATTAGACCCCTACCTCACTGCATGTGAAAATCAGTTTGGGGTAAAAAAAACCTAAATGTGAAAGACAGAAATACGAAGCATTTAAAAGAATATCCTCATGGCTTTGAGACAGGAAAGAAGAAAAGGATTGATTAAATTCAGAAACACCCATTCATCAAAAGAACCACAAAAAGAAATCATGGGCAGGGTATGAATAGGAGCAGCTACTTGTAACGTGGGAGGGACAAAGACAAAAAGTCTGCAGCTGTACTTCTCAGTGGAATCAGCTGCGGGGCTGGGAATGTGCTCTGGTTCTGTCCTGTGGAACATTCTGTAGGGCTGGGAATGTTCTGTTCTCTGCTGTCCAGGAAGGTAGCTGGTAGCATAT